GCAGCTTGGCTCATCCCCTGCCTTCAGCCTCAGGAGCCTGGCAGATCCCGCTTGCCCAGGGATGCTCGGGAAAGGCTGGTGGAGCTCTCCCGACAGGGGCTCAACGCCTTGCGAGCGATGCTGAGGGGTAGCAGAAGGGTTTGCTCATGCCCACGGCTCCGACGGAGGCCAGCGAGCTCCTTTGAGACGTGAGGCCTCTTCAGGTGTGTTTTGCCACATCTCCCCAGCCACGCAGGCCATTCCGGGGGCAAACCCGCCTGGACTGGGCCCGGGGCTCCCAGAGCAGTGGGCTTGCAGACAGGGCTGGTGCCGGCTCAGAGCCAAGCTGGGGCTGGTCTCCCCGAGCAGCTTCCATCTCCAGAGCACTCGGGTTAAACCCAAACCCTTGCCAAGCCCGTTGCATGAGCGATGGGGCTAGGCAGGGGCTGGGGCGGAGCTGCGACCGCGCTGGCCCAGCCTTTGGAGGGACGGCACTGCTCCAGGTGACAATCCAGGTGGGTGATGCTCACAGGCAGAGCTGCACATTACCTGCTTTGCACCAAAAATGCCACGATCAGGGTCTTCTCCTCCTCCCTCCTGGGGCACTGCCGTGCCTGGGAAAGCCTCGTCTTTTGGGGCAGGAGGGTGCAGGTGAGGCCAGCTGCTCCGCAGCCCCCTCCGCAGCGGGATTCGGTGACCCAGCTGGCAGGAGCCGGCGCTTTGTGCCTCCTAAACCCCCAGCTGATATTGCTGGTGGGAAGGGGGGGAGTTGGCTTTCGGAAGCAGTTTGATCACAGATGCTTTTGTCTTGGTACCGTGACTCTCTGCCAGCTCGGGAGAGATTCCCAGCCTCCTCAGCCCAACATATGCCTGCAGCCCCCAGCTCGGAGAGCTGCTGAGTGCTGGCGCCATTAAAGCATCGATGGCTCCGTTTCACGGCATGGCCAGGATCCGGCACATCGCCAGGGACGGGCACCCGTAGCTCTGAGCCTCGGGGCTGCGAGGAGGGTCCCACAACCCGCTTGGTTTCTCCATTCGGAGTTTCCCCTCCCTTGTCCAGACGAAGCGGGTGGGTGGGATGCCGGGAGGCCTGCGCTCTCGCCGCGCCCAGATGGTAGCGTCTGCTGTGCCAGGG